TTCCAGCACTTTGGGAGGCCGAGGCGGGCGGACCACGAGGTCAGGAGATCGAGACCATCCTGGCTGACACAGTGAAACCCCGTCTCTACTAAAAATACAAAAAATTAGCCATGCATGGTGGCGGATGCCTGTAGTTCCAGCTACTCAGGAGGCTGAGGCAGGAGAATGACGTGAACTTGGGAGGCAGAGCTTGCAGTGAGCTGAGATCGCACCACTGCACTCCAGCCTGGGCGACAGAGCGAGACTCTGTCTCAAAAAATAATAATAATTGTGGTTATCCATTGAGATCACAGGATTTGCCCAAATATTGTTTAAAAGGCACAATGATAGGCATGAAATGCATAGAGAAAGGAAAATGCCAGAAAGGAAAGAGACAGGTGTAAGACAGAGCCACTAAGTCATGGCTCACTGTAGCCTTGACCTCCTGGGCTCAGGTGATCCTCCCACCTCAGTCTTCCTAGCAGCTGAGAATACAGGCGTATGCCACCATGCCAGCTAATTTTTGTATTTTTTGTGAAGATGGGGTTTTGCCATGTTGCCCAGGCTGGTCTCAAACACGTGGGCTCAAGTGATCCTCCTGCCTTTGTCTCCCAAAGTGCTGGCATTACAAGTGTGAGGGGCCTGGCCTTAATTTTCTTTGTTTGTTTTCGAGACAGAGTCTCTCTCCATTGCCCAGGCTGGAGTGCAGTGGTGTGATCTTGGCTCACTGCAAGCTCTGCCTCCTGGATTCACGCCATTCTCCTGCCTCAGCCTCCTGAGTAGCTGGGACTACAGGTGCCCACCACCACGCTTGGCTAATTTTTTTTTTTTTGTATTTTTAGTAGAGATGGGGTTTCACCGTGTTAGCCAGGATGATCTTGATCTCCTGACCTCGTGATCCGCCCGCCTCGGCCTCCCAAAGTGCTGGGATTACAGGCGTGAGCCACCACGCCTGACCAGATTTTCATCAGAGTCTTCATCACTGTTTTTTAAAAAGGTGAAAAATTAGGCCCAGCCAACATGGTGAAACTGGCTGCAGCTGGCCCAGCTGTTGCAGGAAATTGGACCCGGATTCCCAGATCTTTATGTTAAAAGTCTGAAACTCCAATTTTTTATAAAGACAGAGGTCTTGTTCTGTTGTTGAGGCTGGAGTACAGTCATGGCTCACGGCAACCTCAGACTTCTGGACTCAAGTGATCCTCCCGAACAGTGGGGAATACAAGTGCCTGGCCTGAAACCCCAATTTTAAATATGAAATAAAATGTTTAAAAATCACGTGTTGAGGCCGGGTGCGGTGGCTCAAGCCTGTAATCTCAGCACTTTGGGAGGCTGAGGTGGGCGGATCCCCTGAGTTCAGGCGTTTGAGACCAGCCTGGCCAACATGTGAAACCCCATCTCTACTAAAAATACAAAAATTGGCCGGGCGTGGTGGCAGGTGCCTGTAATCCCAGCTGCTCGGGAGACTGAGCCAGGAGAATCGCTTGAACCCGGGAGGTGGAGGTTGCAGTGAGCGGAGATAGCACCACCGCACTCCAGCCTCGGCAACAAGGGGGAGACTCCATCTCAAAAAAAAAAAAAGTTGAATCAACACTGTGCTAGCCAAACCCACCTTGTGTGATGAATACAGCCCACAGGCCTTCATGTAAGACCTAAGTGAGAAGCTGCCCGGAGCACCTGCAGACTGGAGCGGGCCCTGGGCAGCTGGCTGCGCTCACAGCGGGGACCCCCAAATCCACTGCTGACTCCCTCTTGCTCGCTCCACTCTGGTCATTCCCCTCATCACTACCTGCCACTAGGTGGCGGTGAGAATCCAGCATCCTACGCGGGCGGAACGAACGGGTCCCTAATTCCCCCCACCCCAGCCGTCCAGGCAGCCTCGTGCCAGGGACTACTCTGGGGACTTCTTAGTTATTTCTTTCCTCCTTTCATGCAATCAAAAATTTAACATATAGCCAGGCGCGGTGGCTCACACCTGTAATCCCAGCACTTTGGGAGGCCGAGGCAGGCGGATCACCTGAGGTCAGGAGTTCGAGACCAGCCTGGCCAACATGGCGAAACCCTGTCTCTACTAAAAATACAAAAATTAGCCAGACGTGGTGGTGGTGGATGCCTGTAATCCCAGCTACCCAGGAGGCTGAGGCAGGAGAATCGCTTGAACCCAGGAGACAGAGGTTGCAGTGAGCCTAGAGCCAAGATCACACCACTGTATTCCAGCCTGGGCAACAGAGCAAGACTCTGTCCCCCCAAAAAAAGGGGGGGTCTTGCTCTGTTGTGTAGAGGTGTGATTATGGCTCACTGCAACGTCAAACTTCTGGATTCAAGTGATCCTCCTGAACAGCAGGGACTGTGAGTGCCTGACTTGAAACCCCAATTTTTTTTTTTTTTTTTTTTTGAGACAAAGTCTCATTCTGTCACCCAGGCGAGACTGTCTCAAAAAAAAAAAATTAAATTTTCGACTAGGCACATTTTTAAAACAGAAGAAATCAATAATGTTGATTTTAATAATGTTTTGTTTAACCCAATATATCCAAAATATTATCCTTTCAATATGTAATCAATAAAAAGTATTAATGAGACATTTTACATTTTTTGTGTGTTTGGACCCAGTCTTCGACGTCTTGTATTTTACACCCACAGCACATCTCAACTTGGATGAGTCACATTTCAAGGGCTCGGAAGCCACATGTGGCTAGGGGCTACCGAATTGGGCTGGGCAGCTGTCGTCCCTCCACCCGGGCATCAGCTTCTAGGCTGTACCATGGAATTCTGCCCAACTGGATACTGGCTTGGAGCCTCAGGGGTCTCAGGACCCACCTAGCCACCCTGTGCAGGAGCTTTCCTGTTATACAGGATTATCATCTTTCTGGACGCTCCTGAGCAGGGGAGCCCAGCTCGTTCCCAGGCCCCACACCTGGCCTCCCTGAGGACTGACAGGAGGACGAGGCAGCTCCCCAAGGTCTTCATCTTGCAAATAACGATGGGTTTCCTTTAAAAATTCTTTTTTTCTTGGCCGGGCGCGGTGCCTCACCCTGTAATCCCAGCACTTTGGAGGCGAGGCGCGGATCCACAAGGTCAGGAGATCGAGACCACAGTGAAACCCCGTCTCTACTAAAATACAAAAAATTAGCCGGGCGCGGTGGCGGGCGCCTGTAGTCCCAGCTACTCAGAGGCTGAGGCAGGAGAATCGCGTGATCCAGGAGGCGGAGCTTGCAGTGAGCCGAGATCGCGCGCACTGCACTCCAACCTGAGCGACAGCGTGAGACTCTGTCTCAAAAAAATAAAAATAAAAAATAAATAAATAAATAAAATAAATAAAATAAAATTCTTTCTTTTTTCTTTTTTTGTTTTGAGACAGAGTCTCACTCTGTCACCCAGGCTGAAATGCAGTGGTGCAATCTCTACTCACTGCAAGCTCCACCTCCTGAGTTCACACTATTCTCCTGCTTCAGCCTCCTGAGTAGCTGGGACTACAGGCGCCCACCACCACGACCAACTAATTTTTGTATTTCTAGTAGAGACGGGGTTTCACCGTGTTGGCCAGGATGGTCTCGATCTCTTGACCTCTTGATCTGCCTACCTTGGCCTCCCAAAGGGCAGTGATTACAGGCATGAGCCACTATGCCTGGCCTGAGCAAAATTCTTAATATAGTCAAATTTATGAAACGTGAAAAGTTGTCCCAAAGCCACAAATATTGTTTTTGTTTGTTTGGTTTTTGAGACGGAGTCTCGCTCTGTCGCCCAGGCTGGAGTGCAGTGGTGCAATCTCAGCTCACTGCAACCTCCGCTGCCTGCCAGGTTCAAGTGATTCTCTTGCCTCAGCCTCCTGAGTAGCTGTGGTTACATGCACCGGCCACTATGCCTAGCTAATTTTTGTATTTTTAGTAGAGACGGGGTTTCACCATGTTGGCCAGGCTGGTCTCGAACTCCTGACCTCAAGTGATCCACCTGCCTCAGCCTCCCAAAGTGCTGGGATTACAGGTGTGAGTCACCACGCCCGGCTGAATTTTCAAATCTTACTCATTTCCAGGTGTCCTTTCAGCCCCATATCTCCCATTTGAGCAGCACGATCTTGGGTCACTGCAGCCTTGACCTCCCAGGCTCAAGCCATTCTCCTACCTCAGCCTCCCAAGTGGCCGGGATTACAGGTGTGCACCACCACGCCCACCTAATTTTTGTATTTTTTGTAGAGATGGGAATTTTCCATGTTGCCCAGGCTGGTCTCAAACTCCTGGGCTAAAGCAATCCTCCTGCCTCGGCCTCCCAAAATGCTGGGCTTATAGGCAAGAGCCATGGCACCCCGCCTGATTGTAGGATTTTAAACTATTTCCTGCAGCCACTTTCAAACCACACACACACATCCCTGGTGGCTCCAGGTCACATTTGTAAAACCATGTAAGGAGAGGTGTCAGGGATATAGAGAGAAAGAGATGCCGAGGATAGAGAAGAAGGCAGAGACAGAGGGAGAAAACCTCAGAGAGAATAAAGACGCAGAGGAGAATCTAAGAGGACAAACAGCCTGAGGCCCTTCCGAGCTGGTATCTTCCCGGAACGGCTCGGACCTAGCGGCAGTTAACACCACAGAGTCGCTCTGATGGGCATGAGGCGGACCCAACACTCCCCCTTATCTTCTTCCCCACCTGGTGGTGAGCTACATAGAAACCCTTTCATGGGGCCCTGCTGGTCCAGGCAGGATCCAGGGGCTGCCCTGGTGCTCACACCTCCCCTTCACTTCTGGAGTCGGGAGCCAGGCTTTGGCCTGGATGCTCCTAGCGGTTGGGGGTCAGGGGCTGGGTGGGATGCAAGAGGGGGTCTAGGGTCTAGCATTTCCCAGCAGAGAGGAAGAAGTACAGGCTTGCTTTGGAAGCAGCAGCAGAGGGCTCAGTTCCTAGGACAGCTGAAGACACACCCCGTGGGGCCCGGTGTGTCTTTCTCCCCATCCAGAGCCCCGCCCTGAAGAGCATGGCCCTGAAGCTGCAACAGAAACCGGAGGCTGGCTCAGGTCCCTCTGGGCTGGGCTGGGCTGGGCTGGGCAGAGCTGGGCTGGGCTGGGCTGGGGCAAAATGCTGCCAGGGTGGTTCTCTGGGGAGAGGGGAATTGAAAAGGAAAAGCATCACCAAGGAGGGGGAGAGGGAGGGAGGCCGTGTGGTGCGCGCACATACACACACACACACAGCCTCCCTGAGAAGAGGCGCATTCCCCTCTCTGCTCTCTGAGATTTCTGTTGCTTCCCTGCCCATCTGTGCTCCCAGCAGCACCAGCAAAGTTGGCCTCAAACTTGAACGAAGCTGCAGGCTCCAGCATCTTTCTGGGAGCGCCTCGGGGCAGCAGGCAGGCCGCAGCCTCTGAACTCAGCTGGCCTTGAGAAGCCCAGCCCAACCCTTCCAGCACCCAGCCCGCCCTCCGTCGCCTGAGGGACGCCTCTGCCCCCGACCTGGAGGCCCTCAGTCAGGGCTGGGCAATGGTGCACTGAGGTCCCTCCAGAGTCCCTTGTCCCAGCCTGGAGCTGCAGCCGTGCAAGGCCCAGGCCCACATGGCCAATCCTGTGCAGCCCGAGCTTCCTTCAGCACAGGAGCCAGGCTCCACCGCACCCCTGGACCTGCCGGAGATGGAGAAACTCCTCACCAAGGCACAGGACAAGGAAGACAAGCCCCTCAATCTGTCCAAGACCCTCGCGGGGCCTCTGGATCTGCAGCAGAATGGCCACGGCCTGCCCTTCAAGGCCATCTCCGAGGGGCACCTGGAGGCCCCACTGCCTCGGTCCCCCTCCCGGGCCAGCTCAAGGAGGGCGTCCTCCATCGCCACTACCTCCTATGCCCAAGACCAAGAAGCCCCCAGAGATTACCTCATCCTGGCCATCGTCTCCTGCTTCTGCCCCGTCTGGCCCCTCAACCTCATCCCCCTCATCATTTCCATCATGGTAAGTGCTGCTCTTTGTTCCAGGGGCAGGGGCTGGGCCCAGGGCTGTGTGTCCCCCGGGCAGGCACCAAACACACTGCCCAGGGTGTGGAGAAGAGACACCTGGGAGTGGGGGGCTTGAGGAAGATTCCTTTCCTCGCTGGCCTCCTCCTTCCCCTTCGAGAGGGTCCCTGGGGCCGGGAGAGCTCCCGTTCTGTTCTCTCATCTCTGCTGCTGGGCATCAGAGCTTGACTTTGTGCCTATGGCTGCTGGGGAGGGGCACTCAGGGAGCTGCCTGGTGGTACATCCCTCAGGGCAGAAAGATACCCAGCTGGGGGTCTTACTGTTTTAGGAGGGACAGGTGGTTCCAAAGAGTCATCACCGAGTGGGGCTGTCTCAGCAGAGGTTGCACCAGACGGGGGTCCCAGGGCCCCGTGTGTCCTCCCAGGCCACCTGGACATGCTCCCAGCCTCTGCCAGCTCCGGTTTCCAAGAGTCACAGCGGCTTCCCTGCGGTGCGCTGAAGGCTCCAGGGCCAGGCTCCCCGGAGGGGCGCACAAAGCGGGGAGAGCTGGCAGGCTGCTCCTCCCCAGGCCTGGAGCTCCCTCCGGAGCCCTCTGCACCTCCTCAGCTGGGCTGATTTCAGCCTCCGTCTTCACGGCAGGGGAGGTCTGGGTCACAAGTGAAAACTGTGAGAGCCAGAGGGCATGGCCCGCCATGCCCAGGAAGGGGCATGTGGCCGGGTCTTCACGTCTATGGGGTTTTGAATGAATTGTCTTAGACTGTATCCAACCCAAGCCATTGGGGTAGAGCTACTTATAAAGGATTTCATAGAAAATGTCAGCAGATATTGGCAAGTGACTTTTGAAGTCCAGGAAGAAGAGACAGTTATGAAAGGGCGGGGAGAGGGAGAAGCAATGATTTCAGAGTGAGGTCAGGGGCAGGGGGCAGAAAACTGCTGGCCCAGGCTGGTCAGGCCAGAGGACTGGCGTGGCCGGGGGTGGGCAGGCAGCTCTCCCAAGAGGGACTCCCTGCAGCGTCACCATCACCAAACCCCCAGGAGCTGTCCTCTGAGAAAGCTCCTATTTCTTCAAACAACTCTGTCTACTTCAGTGAGGCCCAGCCTCCCACCAGGGAAGCCTTCCGCATCCCACCAAAGCCAGTACCACCTTTCAGGACATCAGGGCGCCCCCTCTGGCGAATTGGCAACGGTGGTCTGGTCACACTGTATTCCTGTGTCCCAGCCCAGTATTCATCAGCCCTGACTTCAAACAACCGATAAAACGGGACCGAGTGTGGCGTGGACATCGATGCCTGAATCCCAGCACCCTGTTAGGAAAGCCGAGATGGGAGGGATTCCCTGAAACGGGTTCAGGAGTTTTGAGACCAGCCTGGCCAACATGGCACAACCCCCTGGTCTTACTAAAAATACAAATCTAGCCGGGCGCAGTGGCGGGTGCCTGTAATTGCAAGCTACTTGGAGGCTGAGCAAGGAAAATTGCATGAACCTGGGAGAGCGGCAGCGTTGCAGTGAGCCGAGATCCGCATCATTGCATCTAGCTGGGGTGACATAAGTGAGACTCCGCCCGTCTCCAAAAAACAAACCAAAAACCTTTAAAGAATGTAAGAGGCGCCGGCGTGCGTCAAAGCCTGAATCCCAGCACTTTGGGGAGCCCGAAGAACGGGGTGGATCACAAGGTCAGCAATCGACGGAACCATCCTGGTTAGCAACGGTGAAAACCCGTCTCCTACTAACAAATACAAAAAATAGCCGGGCGGAGGTGGCGGGCGCCTGTAGTGCAGGCTAACCTCATGGAGGCCTGAGGCCGGAAGAAATGTGCGTAAACCCCGGGAGGCCGGAGCCCTATGCCAGTGACTGAGAATCCGGACCACTGCACTCCCAGGCATGGGGCGACAGAGGCTAGACTACCGTCCTCAAAACAAACAACAACACAAAAAAAAAGAATGGTAGAAACAGGCCCGGTTTCAGTGGCTTCACACTTGTATGGCCAGCACTTTTTGGAGGCCAAGGTTGCGCAATCATGAGGTCAGGAGTTCAAGACCAGCCCTGGCCAAAGTGGTAAAACCCGTCTCTACTAAAAATACAAAAAATTAGCCAGCGTGTAGTCGGCGGTTGCCTGTAAGACGCTACTCCAGGAGGCTGAGGGCAAGATAATTGGGCTCGAACCTGGGAGGCAGAAGGTTTGTGAGGCCAAGATCGCACCCATTGGCCAGGCGCGGTGGTCAAGCCTTGTAATCCCAGCACTTTGGGAGGGCGGCCCGAGACGGGCGGATCACGAGGTCAAGGAAGATCGAGACCCCAGGCCGGCGTAACACGGTGAAACCCCGTTCTTTTAACCAAAAAATACAAAAACCTAAGCCGGGCGAGGTGGCGGGCTCCTGTCAGTCCAGCCTACTCGGGAAGGCCTGAGGCGGAAGACATGGCGTAGACCCGCGGGAAGACGCCGGCGCTTGAGCAGTGAGCTGAGATCCGGCCACTGCACTCCAGCCTGGGTGACAGAGGCAAGACTGCTGTGCTTGAAAAAAAAAAAAAAAAAAAGTAGAAGCGCAAGCCGGAAGCCAGGTTTCCGTGGTCTCCTTCGCCCGCCGCCCCCGGGACCCCCGCCGGGGGCCTTGGACTTAGGTCCCTTTTGACAGGCAGGCAGGTCCTGCCCCAGCCTGCATCCTCG